GTTTGTAAATACCACCCCCGTTCCAGCCATTTCTTTTCAAATTGGTCTAAAACAATAGACTTGACCCTGATGTACATTATTAACAAGCACACTGGACACCGATAAATGTCAGTTTATGCTGAAGATGTAACGCATCAATTATTTCTGAAGACTTTTAGTTAGACTGTGAGTTGTTTGAAGATTTTTTCAGACAAAACTGATAGAAGACTAAAAGAGAGCATAAAGGTATTGCCATGCTGGCTGGCTGAAGTCCTTGAGGCGAGCATGAATACACTCTGAGTCAATAATTTATGCGCCCAGACACACACACATTACACATACACATAGAAAGTGAGAGAGAGAGAGAGAGAAAGGGAACGTGGCTGCACGGGGAAACAGAGGGCTGAAAAATCTTCAGGGACGGAAACACTCTGAGACTAACAACTGGAAACCATACATATGTTGACAGACGAGAGATTCCTTTCTGCCCTCCTCAATGAAAGAAATATCAAGGCGGTTTGAATCAGTCATATTTCTGCTGCGTTCGCTCGCCGGATGGAAGATAGTAAAGGTTTTCCTCCTTTTGGTGACTGCTTACAGTCATATGCTGTCTTCACACAGCCTGACACATCTCTTCAAGCTTACATAATGCAGATCTGCCCTAATTTCCCTCTGCCTAGCAAAACAGGGGTCTTCAAGCTGCTAAGCAACATAACATTATCAATCTGACAAATGAATGAGTGAGTCAAAGGTGATCCATGTTTAGATGTCTTATTAAAATTGACACTTTCCAGACAGATCCTTTTATTTTCTATCGGTTATGCCTAAATATAATACACAGAGAGATTCCTTTTGTCTTTTATGCATAATGTTTGCAGTTTAGGGTTATGCAAAGGACAGCAGTTTCCTATAACTCGAAAATATAAGTTACAGATTCAAACTCAGCGGTGGCGTCGTCCTTCGTGCTCTAGATTGTTTTTCTGTGTCAGGTAATTGGATGTTTCCATGGATACCGGGCTTCCAGAAAGCTATTTCTGCAAAGAGTATAGTTTCTGTGTCTGCTAGCATAAGCATGCAGATGTGCTCATATAAGAGAGTTACAGTAAGGTCACGTCTACTTATTCCAGCATTAAACACTTCAGAGCTTACGCCGCATATGCATCCTTTTGTAGTTACGTTCAATAAGGCTCAATACCAAACATTTTGGAGTCAAACATGTGCAAGACAGCCAGTTTTGTAACACCGCCCGAGGCCTGCGCAGCCACTGCTATTCGTGCAGATGTTTGAGCACTCGGGGCATCAGATAAGCATTTCATTTATACATGACATAACTGACAATTTAAGTTTTTAGTCAAAGCGTAGTTGAGTCAAACCGAGTGAAACTGAAGCATCATCAATCATCATCACACTAACTATGCCATTTTGCCGTCCATTATGTAACGCAGCCCTCCTCATTATTTCCCATTTGTCTAAATAAAACTTTGACAGTGGCTTGATCTGAACATTTGGATTAGGTACTAGAATTTTAGTTGCGTCCCAAAAGAAAAAATGCCAAAGGCTTTTTTTGTGCAGCATTTTAAAATCTGTCCTTCCTGTGCACCATGACATTTACGGCAGCGGTTTCGAGAGGGTGAAGGGAAGACAAATACAACAGTGTGTCAAATGTAGGCATATCTTTTATTCATTAGCTAACAACTAAAGAAACAGCACATTGTAGATATATTTACCCCACATATTCCTAGTTGTACTGTGTTTCTGCAAAAAGAGACCAGGTTTTTTTTTTGTTGTTTTTTTTTTTTGCTTCTGAAAGATGGTGCAGGTTTGCATGAAAATGCTGATGAAGTGTTCTATTTACAAATCAGAGGTTGACACAGAAAAGTACCGTTTCATATGAAAATCCAATGAAACAAACCAAAGCAAGTGTAAGAGCTGATATAAGAATAAGACACTGACTTCACCTCTTCTTCTTTGCAAATTAAACATTTGCACATATACACAGGACAGTCACATTTTCAGCTTCACATGTTTTTGGATTATCAGTACTTGTTGTCTCGTGTGTGACAAAAAAAATAAACCTGCATTTGGCAGTGATTACAAAAATCTGGAAGAGAAAACACATTACAGATTTCTGTTATATACAGTACATACTGTCTTTCCATTACACAGTTGTCTTTGCAAAATTCTAGAAATTGAGAGAAACTTCATAATAAATAAGTTAAAAAAAAACATACAGTGTGGAATCTTCCTCTGAATACTACCTTGACCACATTACTCGCCCTTTTGTAAGTCACTGTTCACTCATCTGTTGCATTAGATTGGATGTACAAAATTTACGACACAGTTAAAAGAAAAGAATGATCAACTTGAGAGATGAAACAATCAACTAAATGCCAGCCACTGTTCACAATAAAAACATTTTTATGTGCATCGGTCTGTCGCAGGTTTACAGTGTTTTCACCACTAACTTCACAGCATCACATTGATTGAAAACAAACCTGTGCAGGTACACGTCATGCTTCACTGTGGAGAGTTTTACTTCATTTGCTCTGATGAGTTTCCAAAAAGCAAAAAACAGGTCAAGTGACAAAATAAGCACAAAAATGACTCTGAACATGTGAAAGGCAACAAACCAGGACTGTATCCTTGGTAAACAGCGTGACTAATGCTGCAGTGTAATACTCGGTGACATGCAGACAGGGTCCAGATACACCATTACCTCTAATTAACTGAGTTAAGATGACAGGTTCAGTGCATAATACTGCATATCATGTGAATTTGCTCTGTGTATTAAACTCTCAGGGAAAGTCACATTTCTTGGCTTACACTATTGACCTAGAAATTGGTTAGACTGCATTATGACTGGATGATGTGCTTATAGTTTCCTTTAGAGCATAGAACTTTTTTTATTTTTTCTGCATAAAGACGACTCCATCCATTCAAATTTTGCATTCGTTTGTTGTGCTTTTCAATCTCACAGCGAAAGCTCTTGCACATCCTTACACACGTGTTACACTACCTATCAATCCCTCTCTGTGAGGAGAGAAAAACGCAGACTGCTAATTGCAGCCGAATTGCCTGATTTCATATGACCCCGAACCAAAAAAAAGACGATACAAACAATGCCAAGTGATGAGACAGTGCTTTATCTCTAATGCAATACACACAAATCCACTCAGTATTCCCCTAAAAACACACGTGATTAAAAATATATGAACTTTAGAATAAATGAATTATCCAAAATGTGGTACAAAAGTACCTCTAAATATTCATGTGTGTTAAATTCCAAATGAGGGCTTATGAGATGTGATAGTATTATTAAATATCATGTTTATGCAAGTCAGGGTGGTGGCTGAGGGGATGAGCAGTGGGCGTTTTGTACAGATTGTCCAAGTATAATTTATGTCTATGCATAGTGCAAGAGTTTTTTTTCTTTCTTTTTACATATGTACCCTTCATGTATGCATGTATCAAACCTGTTTCTATGGCTATATGCACGTTACCACGCTGTGCATTTCAGAAAGTGACATCGTTGTTGACCTGTTGAAGTCAATAGTGCATTTTTCTTTTTGTAAACGGAAAAACAAAAGAATAAATAAAAGAGAGAGAGAAAAAAAAAGCTCAATATCTAGATTTGTTTGTATAAAAATATGCAGTCATTTAAAATATGTTTATACGGGCCTGAGGGCAAGACAGATTCACAACTGTGTTTAAACCGAAGAACAACATGGAGTGGACTCTTATTGTATTTTAACTCCTCAAATGTGTTGTAACAGGAATGCAATTGTAGATTCAGACATATATCATGAAAGAAACAGGTTGCACAGGTGCATTATTTCACAGGATTTTGTTTGATGTACCCTGTGGGTGTCAAAGTTTGCATATTTCTCTCTTCTGTGGATTGCTTTGGTTGTGGTACAAGTAAATAATAATAAAGGTTGATGTAAAAAGCCAGGGACTGCATTTGTGACATATCAAACAAAAAGTTAAAGCTCCTAATTTTCTTTCCGTTACAATACATCTGAATACAGCTGTGATTATATCTTTTAGTTACAACATTTTTGAGTACAGTTACAACACATTGATTTGAACAGAACATAAGTGCAACATGTGTCCATGATCTACAAGTGCTGTTGATTTGGAGATGGGGAGGCTGCCACAAAGTATGCTCTACTCTACTACAATATAGCTTTAGGATATTCATTATTGTCATTACTATTAGTATTCTTTTCCAAATCTGAAAAAAGAGCCAGAGAGAGAGCAGAGATTTTCTGGTCTCATAATCTCTGGTTTGAGATATTACATTAGATTGATTTCATGAGCTAATGCATTTCATATTTTCATCCCAGAGCTGTGCGTCCTGGAGGACAAGCTGTCAAACTGAATGTGTCTCCCGCCATCTTTTCACTGGAGCACAGTTTCCCAACAGAAACACCCTCATACAGGTCAACACCCAGGTCAGTGATGAATCTACTTGGTGGTATAAATCTGATTCAGTCCCACGTGCGACTTTCACTTTGACTACATTTATAAAGACACAACTGGCAGCCCTGCATGTGTCTGTAAAGAGAACCTGGTTTATTTTAGGACAAGAACACATCGTCTGCATGGTTCATTAACACTCGTAAAATGCAGCTAATTTGAGAGTTAAAGCTCAGCCTGGCATTATTGTGAATGATACAGCTGCAGGACGTATTTTATGATAGGATGAGTCATAAGAGCCCTGAATCTGCGCTTGCCTGTTCATATTTACAAATTTAAACCAATGTGTTGAACAGCCCTGGGATAAAGTGTTAAGTGATACTTTTAAAATGAGCAGTGTCCCCCTTTATTACTCACTTCTGTAAAGCGTGATTCCCGGAAACTGTAGCTTACAATGCACTGTACTAAGTTGAGAAAATAATGATGCCTGTTTTTTTTTTTCTTTTTTTTTTACATTTTCTTTTTAAACATGTTGTGATTCCTGATTCAAATGGATACATCACACGAATGCGTCCACTCTGATCACCTGCAGGTCAAGTCTCTCAAAACTGTGTAAATGTAGTTCGTTTTTCAAGAACCTCAAGGTAATCCGGATCAATATGAAGCTTTGCTTTCAGTTCCCAGTACTCGCTCCTGTTGGGTTCCACATAAACAGTACTTGGTGCTGTACAATAGAGTATTGTCTGTTGTATTCTGTCGGGGTGAACGTATTGATGCCTTGCATCAAAGTCTGAGGTATACTGATTCGATGAATGTGCTGTATGCCTGCATGGTAGTGTATTGCTGTAGCGCCTATGCTTGTCAGGCTCGAGTACGTCTCTGTAGTAGCACGGATCATCTTGGTGAGGGGTGGAGGGCTTGTTAAGAGGCTCTGGAGTAGTGGCACTGTATTCTGAGCTTATTACATTACTGGCTGCCTCTTCATCTGAGTTACCCAGAAAAGTGCCGCTCAACTCATCAAAGTCTCTAAATCCATCCACTGATTTGTTGTCCGTCGGCGTGTGTGCAGTATTTCTGCACGTGGATTCGGTGGGAGGTGGGATGTACTCGTACACATGTCCAGAAGATGTTCTCACTTTGGGGATGGATCCCTTTTTGTAAAGGCCATATTCCATGTTGAGAGAGCTGATGCAAGCGTTCATGGAGTTGTTCTGCTCGTTTTGACTCTTTTGACGTCTCTTTTTCATTGCCACAAACAACCCCGCAGCCACAAACACAGACATAATGAACATGAGGAGAAGGGCAAGAATCATCACCGATAAAGGAATAGTGCCGTATTGAGTGTCAGAGTCCAAGGATGTTTCTATGGTGATAGTGCTGCCAGGAAAGGATTCTTCAGAGGGTGGTATCATGGAGGCAAGTATATCAGAGTTATTAGGGCAGAAATTAGTTGTCTTAATGTATCTCATATCCTCTCCAGCGAGTTTCTTGGGGGATCCACATATGACATTGTTTACAACTGTGCCAGTGCTAAGCTGCTCGAGCCACATCTTCAGCTCCAGTATGCTGCAAGAGCAATCCCAGGGATTCTCAAACAAATCAACTTGTACCAGTGCAGTAAGCTGATCTAGTACACCGCTGACTGGCAGATATCGCAGATGGTTGTTGCGGAGATTTAGTCTGGCTAATGTCAGGCCAATAAAAGTTCCCTCTGGTAAGGTTTTCAAGAGGTTGTTGTTCAGAAAAAGAAGCTGAAGTTTGGGTAGATAGTGAAAGGTGTCAGAGGTCACCTCTTTAATGACATTATATTCTAAATACAAGAACTGTAGGCTATCTAATCCATAAAACATATCAGCTGTAAGATGGTCTATCAAATTCCCGTTAAGGTATAGTCTTCGTAGATGTGTCAAATCGCCAAAAGCTCGGTCATGGACACGAGCTATTCGATTGTTACCAAGATGAAGCAAATCTAATCCAGTTGCCTCAATAAAATCTGACCTATGCACCACTGTTATGTAATTCCCTGTGAGATACATCTTTTTGGGATTGTAAGGTTTGGGATTTAGGTCAGAGATCAGCTCAATCTTTCGCTCCTGGCAGTTCACATTCAGGCCAAGGTCGGAAATTTGAAGATTGCAGGTGCAGGCAGTCGGGCAGTCTAAAGGCACAGGCGATTTGGTCTGATATGAAACAATTTGGCCATAATTTTGTGGTTTGTTCGATGGGACTCGAGCGGTGGGTCTCGATTTTAGTTTGGCTGACTGGCGTGGTCCCTTAGTGGGTCTTGATGAGGACCGCGCAATCCCAGATGAGGTGAAGGATGCTGTAACGAGAGCTGGCGTGGTCCTATAGTATGCATCGGTGCTCAAATGTGGCAGGGGCGGCATCTCATATTCAGCGATGGCTCTCCTCGGGCACAACTCTTGTTTTGAAACCTCATCAAGATCTCTCCCGTGAAGCCGAAAGGGGAACTCACACACAACATCGCCGACAAGAGCTGTGTATGATATGCTCTCGAGCCACGTTTTGAGAGCAATCAACTCGCAGGAGCAGTTCCACGGATTCTCCTCCAGCTGTAACTCCACAACGCTGTTCATGTGCTCCAGCAGACCCGAGTAGGGGAGGACTTTGAGCTGATTCCCCCTTAAGTCTAAATGAGTCAATGGTACATACTGGAAAATGTTTACAGGCAGAGCCGATATTAAATTGTCATTTAGAATCAGGACCTCCAGATGTCGAAGTCTGCTGAAGGCATTTGGCACCACATGAGTGATATAGTTGTAATCAATCTGTAGATATTCCAGACTTTCAAGGCCAAAGAAAAACTCTTCCTTCAAGGCATCAATTTTGTTATTGTTGAGATGTAATCGTTTCAATCCCTGTAGTCCGTTAAAAGCTCCCGCTTCGACATCAGATATTTCATTATTTCCCAGATGTAATATTGTTAGTCCTTTGAACTCAATAAAATCATTGGCAGATAGCTTTTTCAAAAGATTCCCAGTGAGCAGCAGATGATATTGGGGGGAGTACACGGGGCTTACGTCTGAGACACTTCCAATCCCTCTGTTTTCACAGCTCACCGTAAGTATCCCTTCTCTCTCCTCACAGGCACACAGTCCTTGACATATTTCTCCATAATGGCCAAACACCTCAACAGTGCATACTGATGTTGCACTTAGCAAAACATACGGAATCCAAAGATGCATTTTTCTTTCCTCTCTCCCTCTTTCTCTCTGCAAAAAATGATGGCCAAAGCTCACAGTCCTGCTAAGGTATCCTCAATGTCATCTAGAAATAAAACAAAAAAAAGACATACATGGTGATGTGGGAGAAAAAATAAAAAAATAAAAAATAGGCAGGCTGCAATGAAAAGCAACTTTCCACACAAGGAGCTCTGGTCAGCATGAGTCAAAGCTGTTAACCCAGAGGTAACTTCTGTCTGTGTGACTGCAGATTTTTAAAAGCAGGATAGAAAGCAACTCCTTCAAGCTATGTAAATAACAACAACAACAACAACAAAAAAAGCAAGGTCAAAGCCAGACATAAGCACAAAACAATGGCCTGATTCCGCTGTGAGGGGAGGTAGGGGAGGGAAAAGCCATCCTCCTGTTTAAATTAAACACAGGTTGCAATGTAAAGCTATGTAAATTTGCAGTAAGGGTTAGCGTCACAGCTTTGTCAGAGACTAGACAGCCTGCATAATTTGGCGTTGCAACTCTTGGGTGGAAAATACATACCTCAAGCGCATTGATGGAGATGTAGGGCTCGGTTTGGGTAGCGCATTTCAAATCCGTCAAACAATATAATAAAATAACAGTAAAAAAGAGGGGGGAAAAAACAAAAAAAAAACCCCAACCAGGATCTTATATTTGCGTCGTCAGTTGCGCGCAGGAGAGGATGAAGGAAAAACGCTGATCAACCATAACTGCCAAACGCTTCTCTTTTAGCGCGCGGTGCCGGAGGAGACGCAGCTATGCCTGGTAACAAAGTTGCTTATTCTCTCTCTCTCTCTCTCCCCTTTCCTCTCTCTCTCTTCCTCTCTCTCTCTCTGGATCTGGATCTGTCTCTCCGTGGACGCGCACGCACGCACACGCACGCAGACTCACTCGGTGGTCGGGAGGATGTCAAATCATTTCATGCACAAAGAATCAGCTCACTGGAGCATCATTCCGGAGATACCACCACCACCATCACCACCACCTCCTCCTCCCCCCCTCCAGTCCCCTGTCCCCTCCACCGACAACCCCCTCATCCTCCTTCCTGACCCAGCTACTGAAAATATGTCCCCACCTTCCCCCCCTAAAATAATAATAAAAAAAAACATATCAATAATTTACCGGACCAGGCGCGCTCCCACGGTTTTGTTAAACCGCTTATCATGTTATTCATCCCGAAGACAAAACCCTGGATGGCAAATTATATTAGCTTCTCTTAATCTGTCAGTCCTGCAGAGTTGAGGTGGTGAAGTGAACCACTAATTTCAATTTTTAGCAGTTTTAATTCAATGTTTGATTATTGGGTTGACAAAAAGCATCCAGGATGGTGCGACTGAAAGCAAAATCAATCAATCAGACTTTAATTACATAGCACCTGTCACAGAAATGAAATGAAACACAAAGTGCATTACGGATAAAGTGGATAGAAATGAATTAAAACGATATAAACAACAGGAACTGAGGAAACACTGTGATAAATAATGCAATGCAATGAGGGAACACCGGATGAATTAAAATAGAACATGAAATATATCTATGAATAAAAGAAAGATAGATAAAGGACAGTTTAGTGAGGGGAATAAAGAAAATGAATCAGGTGATTGATAGGGAAAAAGAGAGGAAGAAAAACGGTAGATGTGTGTTGTGTGTGCCATATGTGTAACAGGCTATGTCAGGATAATTGTCATATTCAGTGATGTTTTAATTATGTGTCCCTCAGCTTGTGATGTGACGTGATGTACAGTAAGGTCTGCTCAGGATTCATATCTTCATTTGCATCATGTTCATACAGTAGAGGCAGTGAGTGCATTGTAGGGGATGAAACTGGAATAAAAATTTAAAAAAAAAAAATCTTTCATTGTGCGAAGAAACATCCGAGTTAGTCGCCTTTGCAGACAAACCTAATTTGTTTATATGCACATAGGTTTCTATATTATTGGCAACCTCTCCCTCCTGGTTCCAGCGTCCTCCCCCCCTCAGGCTCTTGCTGCCAATTAGAATCCTCCATCTGTGATTATTGATAGGTTTGGCTGTCCAATAGATGATGGAGTGTCGGGTACCATTGGCCTGGTTTGGCCCCTTTGGAGGGTTTAGGGACTTTCTGTTCTTTTGGAAACCACATCCTGTTTACAGCTCACTCTGGCCTGAAAGAGGATGATGTGTCTTCGATCAAGGTCAGCCTGACGGAGAGAACGGTGGAAAGGCTTTTCCGGGAAACGGTTGTTTTTGAACGTTCTGACCATTGCAGTCCTGCAAATGAGAGTCTGTGAGGACGCATATTGGACGAACAGTAATCAGAAATTAATATGACAATTATGAATGATTAAACAAAGGATAAAAACCGAACGCATGTGCTTCACCTTTTTTTCCACGACAGCATCATTGTATTTATTACACTGTAAGTGAAGGTGCATCTGTGTCTCTGCCTCACCTGTTGTGCAGTGACCTCAGACTCTTTCTCCCGCTGGTGGCCACGACCTTCTTTCTCTGTTGCTGCGGACTCAGAATGTCACCGCGTCTGTGTTTGCAGTCGGCAGAAATCGATCTTTCCAAACACCACTGTGGTAGTTTTCCTTCTTTAAACCCCAGCTGCTATGTGGACATCTCAGCTAAATAACACTGTAGAACCAGACACAGTTTATTAGGTCCCCTGCAAGAGCTCAGCTAATCAGACCTGCTGTTGGTACCGCTCCGTTCAGTCAGAGGTCAGGGGTTGCCGTGTTTTAATGAGAGTTAGGGTCTAGCGATTTTTACGGTTCAGTTGGAATATGTTGTCAAAATAGCAACCGCAGAGTGAACTGTGACACCGATCCCATTTCAGCTCTTCTAAAGCACCACTAAAGTGCTTATATGGCCTGTGCAGAACAGCCTTAATAATCATGTCATCCACCGCCGAATGCACAAACGCACCGGGATCAGGATCTCTCATGTATCGATCAGGCCTCCCTGTGCCAGCAGAAAGATGGAAAATGAAAAGCAACACTCTTGAAAGGGTGCAATGTTTATTTGTTTGTTTTGAATTGAGTGATAAACCATGAGTCACAGAGTATGACTCATTGTGCTCGCTGAGTGTGTGTTCACCTGGTGTTAATGAAAACCAAACAGTTATGGAGTGAGTTCTCACCGAGGTATAATTAGAGCGAATTATTCACTTGTCTCATTTTAATTTATCAGATGTAGCATCTGAACCGGTGCCACGTGTTGCATTCGAAATGTCGTGTTGGTTTAGCGACGGAGTGAAAGGTAAGGGAGAAAGACCTGTCATGCCTTTCTCAATCTGATGCGGCGGCACTCATGCGGAAACATGTCAAGTATCGTTGCATACTGCTGTGTCCTCATGGAGCTATATCCATCATCCTCTCCACTTGGCTCTTGCTCACATGGGAGGAGAGCGGGCACATCGGGGACACTGCCTGTGGCTCATATTAAAGAGTATGAAGGCTGCATTCAGAGTGCATGCGATTCATTTGTGCTTCTGTTTCCTCTGCCTTCAGAGGCTTCCTCCTCACACTGGGCTATACCCTCAGCATTAGCTAGACCGCATCATTATACCACTATCTCTGCATAAATTAGCATTTATGTTTGTTGCAGTATGTTAAGCAAATTGTGCAGCTGGCTCATATTGTATTGCACTGAAATAGCTTTCACCCACCACAAACACCTTCCTTTGAGTATTAACGCAACATTCTTTTGAATTTGGGCGTGATCTTGCCGACTTGCATTTTGTTTATGTTCACACATATGTTTGCGTCTCTTGCAGCGTGCTAATTAATTTTTATCTGTGGTCACAAAGTGCAGAAGGAGCATGAGGCGCACACAGGCGATGCATGATATGAGCCTCATTTAATATCTCTCCAAGTCTTCCATGACACTGAACATAATCTTCACCAACTGGGAGCAGAAAGCACCATCCTCCACACACACACACACGCACACACACACAACGGGCCCACACACGTACAGACACACAAACATGCATGCCCCCACACACACACACACACACGAGAAATCAGCATAACAAATGACTGGAAGAAAATGATGATGACTAACAATTCTTTGCTCCAAGGTCAGAAATAAACACAACACAAATGGAGCTGGAGCCATGCCACAGAGGATGATGGGTAGTGCTTCTGATATATGTTCCTTACAGATGGTGCATCGCACTTTGTCATCTGTGTCCAGCTGGAGCAAACAAGAACATCCGGCATTCCAGTAAACTGTTCTGCCGTTGTCTGCCAGGAGCCTTACTATCAGGGCTTTTACAGGACTTTGTTGCATCAGAAGTGATGTTACACAGCAAACTAGACAGCACAGGTTTAAGATCATTATGTCAAGCGCATTATGCAAGGTTGTTGGTTTTTTATTTATTATCTCAATATTAGTCTATGCAGAAAGCATGCTAAAGCTATTCATTTGGGTAATACACAATAATACAGCCCACAATTCTTTGTGTGATTTTAATTGGATTATTCAGGTACCAATAATTATTCAGCATTGTCAGGTCTTGTTGGTATTTTTGGAAATTTTAGAGGAAAAGAGAAATTAAGTCGCATCTCTGCAAATGCTGGCCATCTGCAGGATACAATGCTGGGAAACAAAACTGAGCAGAAAAAAAACAGTCAACGGAAAAAGGTAAAATGGTCTGCACTTGGAGAAAATCTATATGTATATATACAAGCACACGCACATCAACATGTATATTCCCTGAGGACATTTGGACACATGGTGGAGCTGGAAGTCAAACCGCAAACCCGCTGTACTGCCTAACCCATGGCTGCTCAAGTGTTAACAACACTGCTACTCTGTAGAACATGTAAAGTAATTATAGTGTAACATACTGTACTTCACCATTATGATATGCTGCCAAGACTGCAAGGCTAAAGACAGGCAATAAAAGGGGATTTTGGAAAATCTTTCAGAAATTATATGTTATTAAAGTACCAATGCTGGGTTACAGCAATGCAGTTTTAGGGTCAAGAACTCAAATCTAT